ACATTGTAATTAAGAAAGCAAAGCAAGAGTTTGTTAGCATATTAAAGGATTGAAACAAATACCGAAAGAATAGATTATACCATAAGAAGTCACTCTAGAACAACCACATTTTTTTGAAGTTGATTAATTCAAGCACCCATGCGAGACCCCCTGGAGTATGAAAATCATAAAATAAATCAAGTGACAAGTTACACATATACTAATGCCCAACAAATGAATTCTAAATTATAATAAAACAAGTCATTTATTCAAATAAGAAACAAAGAAGATGATCACTCTAGCGTGGTCCGCATCAGAAGGTTGCAGATCTGGACCCAGTAATTCTTGCGGTGGAAGACATCTTCTTGGCCATGGCTGGAACCCGTTACAAGTCGAGGTGTTGAAACTGGGTAGAGTTAAAAACTCTCACATCAGCGAACTGGGGGACTAATTGATTAACTTTAATTTGCTTTTCTAATGTTGGTTTTCAAGTTAATATTAAACATTTTTTTTGCGTATAACTGAAAATTTGAACAGTAAAACAAACCATTAAGAAGAAACTCCTGCAAGAAGACACTGGACGATAATCCACAACTTGCTTCAGTGAGTTCAGTCTGAAGGAAACAACTGCTGCATCAATCTGTAGAAGTTTGAGACATCAACTGGCCGAAGTGCCGAACTATGGGCAATTAGAACTTTACATATCACTAAGCTCTTTAGCGTGGATGATACACGTTACATTTATTATGTGATCCAGTGGTATAATGGTACAAAAAGGTTCAGGAAATAAAATACTTTAGATTGGGGGAAAGGCTGTTTCTGGGACCTTGCGGATAGAAAAGGCAATCAACTTATCCCAAAAATACTGTTTTCTGTATAACTTAGCTTATAATGCTAGCATGATAAAGCAAACCAAAATTGAATTGAATTGAATTGGTGTTAGATGAAAAGTATGGGTGGTCATTCTAGTTCAATTTTGACCAACCCAAATAAAACCCATTCAAAGCAAAGGCGAACAAAATGCAAATCAGCTCTAGGAGATAAAGTCCTCAGCTTCTTCTATGTTGCTGCCAGTTCTTAATCAGCAAGGTCCTCAATTCGCTTACAAGATGAGGTTATAAATTACCAATTTTATATTCCAATTAAGAGGAAACAAATCCCACCAAGTTGCCTAAGAATTTGTCACCTAGTTGGAGATGTAGTTTATAGTATGACACATCAACAACTGCTCTGTTTTGGGTCGTTTGTTACCTTCTCTTCTGTTTAAAAAGTAATGAGATATTACTGGAAATAAGACTAAAAAGGTTTTAAAATTCCAAAACAGGACTATCATGTTGTTATTCCGAAAACAGGACTAATTACTGTCATGTTTTGGCAAGACCAGACCTCAAACATGCAGTATTTTCCAAACATGGCAGTAATTACTCCTATTTTGGGAATAAAAGACATGACAATCCTATTTTGGAATTTTCAAACTATTTTAGTCCTATTTTGGGAACTTTCCCAGAAGTAATTGAAAGAAAGAAAAAAACATTAAAGAGAGAAAGGGAAAGCATCACTATGCAGTCAGCAAGGTAGTAAGAGACTATTTAATTAGGTTTAACTAATCCCAAACTAACCCCAAACTAATCCGACAATTGATGTATATTATGTGGAGCTCCGAAGCAACTGCACCTCGCATACAGAAGATCATGTCCATTCTTGCTTTATTACACATCACGCTTCTGCGACTTGGTATGCTCGGAAGAAGCGGCTCAGCGATTAAAACCTGGCGACGGCGGAAGTGGAAGCGAAAGCAAACGGAGGTCTTACAGTGTTATTCGAGTTCAAGTCCAGAATCGAAGGTCTCTGTGGCAAGAAAACAAATGGTGAGGTGATGCGGCGGAAGATTTCTGCAGATGGACATGGGGGCGGCTCCTTCAGTGGAAGATTTCTACGGAGTGGAAGATTTCTGCAGATCGACAATCGGGAAAGGAGATATATTTAGATGTATACTGATCATAAAGAATGAAAGGAGGGGAGTAGACCGCGTGGTCTGAATTTTATTTGGGCTGTAACAAAAGGAAGAAAACGAAGGAAGCAAACGGAGGGAGCCGTTAAGTTCGTCTGCGGCAAATTTGAGCTTCTGTCCGGACTATTCACACAGTAAAAGGGCCAACTAACCCGTACTGGCACTTATCATTTTTTAGTGTATATATATATATATATATATATATATATAAATACATATATATATATATACATACATATACATATATATATAGGTATTGGTTCAAATAAGAACACGATCTTATGAGAGAAATGAGAACGAATCTGCACCGTTAGATTTGCTTCAAGTGAAATTCAGTGTGCATTAGATGAAACTGTAATGTGCATTAGGTGAAATTGAAATGTGCATCACAAAGGGTATGATAGAGTGACATTATGTGCAGTTGAATTGTGCATTACGTGAAATAGAAATGTGCACTACGTGAAGCTGAAATGTGCAGAATAAAAAGTATGATGTGATGTTATTTTTGTACTTTTTTCGCACATATCAGTTTCATCTAATGCACACTTGAGTTTAAATTTTTATTTTGCACATTTCAATATCATTTAATGCACATTTCAGTTTCACAAAATGCACAATTTGGTTCCACATAATACAATTCAACGGTTCAGATTCGTTCTCATTTTTCTCCTAAGATCTGTTCTTACCGGAACCGCTCCCTATATAGGTATATATATATATATATATATATATATATATATATATATATATATATATATATATATATATATATATATATATATATATATATACTAATTTATTTATTTATTTACATGTACACATGTATATTTATATTCACTAATATAATTTATCTTTATATATATATATATATATATATACTTTATTATGTTAAAATTTAAGTTTTTAGTTCTTAACAACTAGCCCAACTAATATAACATCTATTTTTGTACTTAAAGATAATACTTTGTGCTTGAATTTGAAATTTTAGATACAGTTTCTCATTATTATTTTGTGTAAGTATTATTTTTGTATGTGGTGAAACGCCTATGAACACTATAAGCGTATTAACAATTTTTTAAATTTTGTAATATTATTTTTAAAGTATTAAAAAATAATATAATTTTAAAAAATTATAGTTTTTCAAGGCCAGGAGGCCTGGTGGACTACACGACCCGCTCTTACGGGCGGGTATGGACATGGGGTTAGGCCCGTTTTGCGGGCCGGGCCCTCCCACACATGATGGGCAAAAAATTATAAAAAACCCGGCCCGAACCCATTTTTGTGCAAGTCTAGTTTGGAGGTCATCTTGAGTCTTGACGAGGCGCACTTTTCGGTATTTTTCTTTTAATTTTCGGGCACTTTTGAAAATCGGAGTTACCTTTAACGGTCTTTTCCAGACGTTTTTAACGGCATGACCCTCTTGTGATAACGGAATTCAAACACATGAATCACTTTGATAAAGAATGAAACACATGACCCTAGCTAAAAATGGGCTGAACCACAAGCAACATTTCCGTACTTTTCCCTAACATTTTTCCTTATGGAGATAATGTCGCCAAAATTATAAAGCGAAGACAATGGCTGCTAGCTTAAGATCGTGTGTGGAGTAGTTCTTCTCGTGTGTGCGATCACTTTTAATTCTTGCATATAGGGGAGTGGGGGGACCGCCCCCCTTGGATTTTCAAAATGTTATATTATATATATGTAAAATTTTCATAAAATTTTCATACTTTAGTTAAATATATGTGTGTTAGCCCCCCTTAACTTCTTTGTTTTAGAATTAATACATATAATCATTAATACTTAATTTTAGATTTAAAGGAAGAAACTTAATTATGAAGAGAAAGATCATAGTATATACTATATATTACTTTCTCTCTGAGATGGATTTTCATGTCAGAACTTTGTACTTCGAGCTGAATAATTCAAAGTCAATCTCCCGTTTCTTTTCTTACAGCTGAATCTGCACTTCCAGGCAGTGGTGGACTGAACCGGGCCGGTTCGGGCCTCGGTTCAATAATAGCAGGCCCGAACCGGGGTAGGGCGGTCCCGGGTCCGGTTCCGGGCCGGGCCGGTTCGGGCCACCCGGTTTAATTTTTTTTTTTTTCCTTTCTTCCCACCCCCCACCCCCCACCCCCCCCCAAACCGGCCTAAACAGATAGCCCAAGGCGGCCCCAAGCCCAACAGCCCAAAAAAATGAAAAAAATTAAAAAAAAAAAATAGATTTGGCCTGGACCCGGGCCCGAACCGGCCGGGCCGGGCCGTCAAACCCATGAACCGAGCCCGGAACCGCCCCACCCCCAGGCCTCCGGCCCGAACCGGACCCAGACCCGGAAAACCGGGCCGGGTCCGCACAGTAGCGGGTCGGGCCGGTTCCGGGCCGGGCCGCTCGGCCCGAGTCCATCCCTACTTCCAGGTTTAAAGGAGACAAGCAACAAATGTAAAAGGAAAATGATGTTTTTAGGCATGGAAAAAAAGAAATTTATGGGGTATGCACTGGAACCAAAGTAGACAAGCAAATTGACATTAAATATTGTGCACCAGTTAGCGCAGTGTGCACTGTGCAATGAATATCAGAAGTGTTGACAAAAATATAAAAGAAAAGGAAGCTTGCCGATTGTGATTTCGTTTGAGCAACCTTCCAGAAGCCCACGCGATTAGGTCTGGAGACGCAAAGGAGGAGATTGGATGGAAATATCAAAGCAGAACGAAATAAGGGGTAGTTCTATTCAAGAAAGAGGCTATTAAGGAGAGAGGGAATGAGAGAAGAGGGAAACACAAATTAGCATGTCCAAGGATCACATTACAATTTTGAATTTTTTATAAGGAATAGCTGACAGCCTGACAATCTGACATGGAGTGAATGTCATATAAGATTACGCCATATGTTGAATTTACCAAAACATCTTCTAATGTGATAGTAGAGGAGAGCTTTCCTATTAATTATTATCACGTGTAGTCAGCATGACAAAATGAGAAATATTCAGAGAAATATGTCGAGCAAACAAAATGGCTAAAATCTTAAATGAGAGAGATGAACTTAATTCACGCTTCAAGCACAAAAGGGAGATAACACTGTCCAGACAAAAAGCCTCCCATACATGTCATTGCATTACACAACCAAACTGACAAGGTAGTAAACAAGCGATCCTAATACATATTCAGAATGATCTGTTATAGATAAATAGTCTTTCTGGTCTATATCCACCATAACTTATGGTAGCAGATGAACTTCTGCTTCCACCATAAATTAGAGAACAACTACACTACCAACTCAGAGAGTCTGTTATAGTACCACAGATCCAAGACGCAAATTTATTTACATTCATAGAGCAAATGGCCATAAGGCTTTCCCAATCCACAGAGGCCAGAACGATTTCCCATTCCATGGAGGCCAGAAGTCTTTCCCAATCCACGGACAGGAACTGCAAAGAGAAATTAGGAAGCGAAAAAAAAAATCAAAACTTCCACAACAACCATTTAAATACATACATACATACATACTCCAAGGTATAGCACAAAGGATCATGAACAAAAAACACAAAGGGGAGGACTACACAAATCTGAGTGTCTAAAAAAAGTTAGCAGAAAAAAAGGCCTTCATTTTTTTTATTCAATTGGGTTGAAGAATGCACCAAAATAATGTCTCCCATGACATCATTTATACTCCTTCCTGAATTGTGTGACAAACAATAGTTTGAGTGATCATATAAGTAAAAGTATAAGGAGAGGGATTACTAACCTGGTTTAAAGGGCTTGACTTGGAGCAACCTATTATCAGGATAGGAACAACGCGCTTCAAGTAGGATTGGCACTCGGGCAGCGGATGGATCAGCAGCTCGGAACACATGAACTTGGGTCGTGAAACTTTCTTCCAGGTAAACTCTAGCCACCTCCAAAAACTCCAAGTTCTTGTTTTGCTCCTTGTTGTACTGAATGGTGAACTCTCGACACTCATCAGCATAGTCATAAGGAGGACCCTTGACAGGATCATCCTCTTCATCGTCATCATCGGACAGGCAGTCAGAGATCGGCTTCTTCTTCTTTGGGAACTTCTTTTTCTTGATGTTGATCCTTTTTATATCATTAAGGGTCTTCCATTGCTTGGCATCCCCACTGTGATAGCCAACTTCATCGAGTCTGTTCCCATCCTCCCGCCTCACTGGCTCACCCTCACATAAGATTTCAGTCTCTATCCCTTCTCTATCGTAGAAATGATCTCCTAACCTCACAGGTCGATATGCCTCCAAACAGTAAGCTGCACAAATGTAATCATCGCGATTTCACTAGGATAGAAGACGAAAAATCAGTAATTTCAGCCACAGTTTGAAAAAAAAAAACAATGAAGCTTGGATGACTTTATGTCACCGAATCTTCATAGTTTACTAAGTTGAGAATTGTTCAGTTTGAAGATGGATGATCAAATATTCAACTAGATTAGACAGCTTTGCTATTTGAAGAACATAAGATCAATTAGAAAACAAAGCCTGAGCTCAGAGTCATCTATTATACACGAAGGGAATAAGAGATGCTTCTGGTTTTCTACCTTCATAATTATAACTAAAAGTATCAAGTGTGGAAAGGTAACCAGTAAATAAACTACTTTTTTTTAATGAAGTAAATAAACTACTTGGTATCACTTAAGCATATGAAACAAATCCACCATCCTAGGAATTTAATTCACTTGAACAGTTGAACAAACCATAGAGAGTCAGAAGTAACTAACTCATTCAGTAGAAAACATACGTTTCAAACAGGATTCAAAGATATCTCCAGTGACCCCTTCAATTGTATCATCCATAGGAAGTTTGTGCACACGCTTCTCATAATTAACATCAGGACACTGGTGCAGAGATACAACATCTCCAAGCGGGACCCTCAAATTTGAACGTAAAACTTTGTTCATCCTAATCTTTGGTTGTTCACAAGAATTCTCACTATATTTCTCCTGTTTTTGAAATAAGTTAGAGAAAACAAAAACAAGGAGTCACCGAAATTATCATACAAACGACATACTGAAAAAGTAAAAGTCCAAATCAGTTTTGGCTTGTACTACATAACATTTGTTATATGCCGCACAACCCATATCAGAAAAAAGAATCCAAACATGTGTTGAATCCAATATACACCATAGAAAATTACTATATGTAGAATCCATCCACAACCAGCTTACCTTTGCGTACCTGAAAAACAAATATAGAAAATAAATACATTTCAAAGTTATTATACAACAAACTTAATCATATTAAAAATTTAATCAAAAAACAACGTACTCCTTAATCTCCTCAGGGGTATAGGGACTGTCAATGGTGGCTTCAAAGTTTCTTGGAGCATATGATCCCATATCCAGCAAGGTATAACGCATCTTCCAGAATTTCTGATTTCAAATCGGAAATGAATATGAGTATATTAATATAAAACAATAATTAGTGGAAAAATAACTATGTTTTGTGGACTTCAAATCTATGAATTAACAAACATATCAATTAATTTACATACCAACAGCTCATTAAAGAAAGTCCTTTGATTGTGCAAATAGGGGATATAGCAGTGCCTGTATACTCCATTCACCCCGGCTACGTCGTCAGTCCCTAGAGCAAATCTAATGCATCCATCCTCACCCCACGATTTGCCCCACGAGTTCTGTAGGGTTATAAAACCTTTTTCGAAATCATAACCAATGGCATTCATTGCATGGCTTAGTCTTTGTTCTTTTCCTTCACGCTCTCCTCGAAAAATACCCTATAAAAAGTATATTTTGTTATAAAATTTTTAGAACTTGATAACAATTTAAAATAACTCACGGAGTATAATACTTACTCCTTTATAAGCACGGAAATCTGCACCCACATGCACTGACACTAAAACAATCTGCTGTGCAATGGCTCTAAGTAGAAAGTACTCATGGGGTGGCACTCTGAAATATCCGCATATGGGAACAGACTCACCATATGACGGGTACCTATCTCCTATGACCAAATTAGAATAAAAAAGTAGTAAATGAATCTAAGGAAATAAGTTAAAGGAAAAACAAATTAAAAAAGGGAGTAAGGTAGTAAGCATCATGAATACAAGTCCGGTCCTGACATTTTTGGGGTCAGGGCAATACAAACATAATAGGCCTCAGGGATAGTATATAAAATTTATAATAATTTTTTGTTATACATTAAAATATATAGTAATTAACCAATTTTGTCATCCAAATACGAGTATAACACATCAAAGAAATCAATGAAGTAGTTATTTAAAAAAAAAAACATTGAAGTATATTTTATACGGTATGTGGCATTTGAGGATACAATGTACCTAAATTGATAGGATGAAACTAGTACAACTATTATTTGCAAAAAGAATTTTGATTTAGGTAAAGAAGCGAAAGATATATGAAATAATTACATATTATATTTGTGACTAAAATAAAATTATTTACAAAAATGTGACTAGTGACTAGAGTAGTAATGGAATCATAATAACTTATGTTTAAATTTTGAATTTAAGGTATCATGACATAACATTGTAGTAACTATTAGTAACATTTTTTTAAATAAATATTATTTTAGTAATACTTATGTAAAAAACCCAAGATATATTGTGCGTATACAGAGTAACTTTTTCATATTTTAAAATAAGGTGCATGTTTCTAAATCATGAATACTATACTTCAATCTTTCACTTAAATAAAAGAATTAGATAAAATTAGTGAAATACTATCAACGAATCTTGAGTATAAATGAGAGAAGTAGACCAAAAGAACATTTATGTGCTAAACGAAAAGAAATGGTGAAGTGCGTTCTCAATGATTTCTGATGTGGATGTTTTAAAAACGAAATGAAATTATTAAAATAAAATTATAACTTTAATTTTTATTTTTATTTTTTAGAAGATTTGTTATGTGTATATAATTAGTATTAATATATATATATATATAATATATATCCATATACACATAATTATGAAATTTATTTATGGGCCCTAATAGAGCAATGGGCTCTGGGCGCATGTCTCTTTGCCCATTCCCCAGGACCGGCTCTGCATGAATATCACACAATTGTAACATCTAATGGATCTTAATTCATTTCAAATTTATCGAGTTATCGAATATCTCCTTATCAACAAATTATTAAGGGTGGTTGCATTCCTATGTTATTTACACGTAGGTGCATATTTATCTCATGTCACATGCATTATCAATACACTCATTCTTTTCCCTCTCTTATATACTCACATTGTAATGTATATATATAGCATAGCAAAACACATATTTTAATCTCTTTGTAGTGATACTGCTCTTATATCCATTTGTATTATGATTTTCTTTTTATAAAAGTTAATTTTGTTTAATTGTTTTATTCATTCTCCTTTCATTACACTCACCTTCGTTACGAGGCCATAAAACTCCTTCTAACATGCACTGTTGAAGGCAAATGTATGCTTTCCCTCCCTTCCAATGATTACGGAAATCATAGGTGCATAAGTCATCAACTGTCTTAATGAATGTCTTTTCAATCATCGAAGCGTAATGTGTTAGATTTGTGTGCGTCGCTTCTGCATAGCAAGTTCCTACACAAACGAACAAAAGAAATTAAAAAATAACGCACTAAAAGTACAAATGACAAATTATATATAAACATTTAATTAAGTAATGTCAGTAACTTGTATTTACCACGTCTCTGCTTCGCCACATTAAGCGCCCCTTTTCTTTGCCAGTTAACAATTTTGGGAACATATTGTTGAAGGGGAGACAACCATATCTTGAAATAAAATAAGAAAAAAAGTTATACAATTCACATCATCATCACGGTGTATCGTTACAACTTACAACAACATGACACCCCTTCAGCCAGGAAAACTAGTTCTACAAAAATGCACCACGGTGTATCGTTACAACTTACAACAACATGACACCCTTTCAGCCAGGAAAACTAGTTCTACAAAAATGGTAGTGGTATTCATAATTACTCCTAAGTAAATTCATAAACTCATGCACCACCAAAAACAAGCTAGTTCTACAAAAATTGTAGTGGTATTCATAATTACTCCCAAGTAAATTCATAAACTCATGCACCACCAAAAAACAAGCTTACCTCTTACTTTGACATTCTTACAAAAAAAAATTTGCAAAGCATTTCTGAAATCTCTAATATGACTTGGCCATATCACTAACTCAACCTTTATAACATATTGATGAAGTGCAGTGACATCCAACTTTTATTTTTCTGTTTGACTGCAATATCCTTTGATTTGTATTTAGTAACTTGCATTGATTTAGGTGGTACATTTCATTGGAAATTTGTTGAGAAATATAGCTCAAAAATTTCAAACCGATTCATGATAAATAGTATTTCATGTTTAATTAATGTCAAATTTTTATATCGGGCACTGAATCATACTTTACAACCCATTAATCAAAATTTTAATTAATATATAGTTCAAATTTCACTCTCATTCGAAATATTGTAAAGTATGATTCACTAAACGAGAGTTCGATCAATATGACGGTTTTATTTATGCATAAGTCTTGATAAGTTCTCTATTTGATAAAGATTGAATATGTTTATTTCTCAATAAATGGAGGAGGATTGTTGCTAATTTTTTGAGAAATATAGCTCAAAATGTTCAACATGGTTTTCAATAAAAACTTTTTATTTTTAAATTATTAAAAATATGGTTGGTATGACAGTCAAGTATACTAAAACAATTAACCTACATCAAAGTCATCATCAATCAACAATATTTCTACTAAAAGAGTAATTTATAATAACCTTCTCAGAACTGTAAGCGGGGAATGTCGTAGAAGACTGCCCGGTGAGAATTTTTTCCTGATGTCTTAACACGTTTTTTGGGATAAAACGTGACATAGTACCTTGCAAATTTAGAACAATTTTTCAAAAATTAATTCAAACTAACATAATACCTAAGATAAAGAAGAGAAAACAAGCAAAAGACAGGTGATTCGCACAATTCAGTATAAGTTCAACAAGATTTCTATCATTGTGTTAATATAGTATAATATTGGAATGTGAGAGATAGACCCAAAAATTAGTGAATAAAATATATTTCTCCTTATATTAACGGTTTTATATGTCTATGGTAAGTTATTCTCCATAATGTCAAGAACAAATTTAAAAGTAGATATTGTGGTTGACATTGTTATCAAAATTGTATAAAACCGTGAAAAGAAGAAAAGAGAAATGTCAGTGATTTCTTTTTGTGTGTCTTTGTCTCATGCTACATCTGCACCGTTCATATTCTTGCATTGGAGATGTTAGAGCATCTTCAATGCTACAATGTGCACATGTGGCATTGGATAGATATACACAAAAGATTGATTTAATGACATTTCTCTCTCCGTCTTTCCACGGTCTTATTTGTTTTTGATAAGTTTTTCCCTGCAATGTCAATCACAATGTCTACATCTAGACAATGTGCTTGACATTGTGAAGAAAAACTTACCAAAATGTATAAAATCCTTCAAATAAGGAGAGTGATATTTTATTTATTGTTTTTTGATTGCTATCTCTCATGTCATGTATGCACCGTTAACGTTTTTGCATGGGAGATGCTCTTATAAGCATTGACAAACTTTGAAAGGTAAATTATACTGAGTAAGGATGTTTGTACTTGAACTGAAAATTATGATCTAGGCTCATCTGGTCCGATCTGTTCAAGTTTGGTCTAGTTTGGTGTGAACTAGTCTGGTCAGGTAGATGCCTGATCCCTGTATATTTTACAAACTGCAGAAGTCTGGTATAGTCTAATCCGATCTATTAAACTTTGTTCAAGTCTGATCTGGTTTGGAACTGAAATAACTCAATTAAAAAAATCCTAATATAGTTTGCACTGTAAATTACATCTCAACAAAAATGAGGGTGAAATTTGAAGGAAAAGGACATAAATAGGAGTAAAACATAGGAAAGAGATCTATATATGAGTTGACGCGGTCCAGTCCGGTCAACTCATAATAGATTTAATATTTACTACGGAGTACATTTAAGGGTGGGCGCGGTCCGGCCCGGTCCAATATTTGGTCAAACCCGTACCGTGACTATTCAAATGGTTCAGTTCGGTTTGGTCTTACACCTAAACCCGTTTGGTGCGGTTTCATTTTCAAACGGGACGATACCATGTCATACCAATACCAAACATTTCCAAGTGTTCAAGAGGAAATTATAGTTTAGTCATCCTCCAATGTTAAAGTTAAATCCTCACAATTCATCAATTTTCATACTCCCTCCATCCCAAATTAATATGCAAAGTCAATATTTTCTTGTCAACCAATGTTGAAGTTAAATCCTCTTTATTGATAATGAATTCAATTTTTAACAATTAAAATTTACATATTCAGAAACTACATTAAAATCTCTTCAAAGTTGCAAACTCCAAATTAAGTATAATTAAAAATTGACATGTTAATTAAGTGAATAAAATGAAATTGTTTGACAAGAAAAGTTAATTTTGCAAATCAATTTAGGACGGAGGTAGTATTACATAATTAAAGAATTTCAGATTTCAGATAAACTATAATAGTACAAATTTAAATAATTAAACCAAACATCGGTTCGATTCTCGGCTTCACATGAACTAGCAAAGAGGGTGAAAGTGTAAAGACACAATTCACTATAAGTTCAACAAGACTAGTTTTTCACCCGGGCGTTGCACGGGATGTCATATACATATATTATAAACGTCATTATATAAACTCAATTTTTTTAATCATAATTACCTCCATTCTTAAATAGTTGCAACATTAAAAAATTTACACTTCACATGCTCTACTTTGACTATATTTTATTTATGAATACATTAAAATTTTATTTTTAGAAAAAATATTATTAAATTCATCTCAGTTTAAATTTTCAAAATGCAAATTTTTTGAAACTTTTACAATTAGAAAATAAATTATATTGAAGATCAAAGTTGTGCATTGGCAAACGTAGATAAAGTATTACTTTTCTCATGGAGTATAAAATAAGAGGACTCGCGAGTAGATAATACATAGTAACAATATAATCTTGCAAAGCACACAGGTTACAAATTATTGAAGACTTTGTACACACGTTTTGTAGCCTTTCAGATTCCCTTCCTCATCACATGTCATGAAATTCTATCTGAAAATTCAAGCTGAACGAACTTGTAAACCTCAAGACTGTCGTATAAAAATTATTCATTATTATTAAGATCATGATAGACCTAGGGGTGGACTCGGGCCGGGCGGCCCGCCCTGGAACCGGCCCGAACCGGTTACTGTTTGAACCGACCCGAACCGCCGGCCCTACCCGCTGGGGTTCCGGGCCGGGCTCGGGCCCCTCAAAAGGTGAACCGGCCCGTCCGGTTCGGGCCCGGTCCGGGCCAATTTATTTATTTATTTTGAATTGTTTTTGAATTTTTTTAAGTTTTTGGGTTGAGCTGGGTATTTTGGGCCATTTGAGGTGGTTTGGGGTGGTTTGGGGGTGAGGGGGGAGGGTTGGGGGTTAATTAGGAAAAGCCAAAAAAAATATATGTTGAACCGAGGCCCGGCCCAGCCCGGTTCCGGGCCTCCCCTTTCATGAACCAAGCCCCGGCCGGGCCCAGGCCCGAACCGGCCAGAGTCCACCCCTAGATAGACCAAGAATAAACAATCATGATTTTCTATGATTGCCCTTGATTCTTGCTCACTGTCATTGCACACACTTGAGACATCCATTCACGTTGAACCAATTCATTTATAACCCGGAAACACTTTTTCACATTCCTTTTGCAAGTATGTGTTCGAAAACATGAGAAAGAAATAGAATTGTCCAAGCTTGTAGTATGATAAGAGTATCAATCTGCACCATATTTATGATTTATATTTATTTAAAATCCAACAACTTGTATATGAAGTTGAACTCTCACAAGTAAAAGTTATAGTCAGTGAGCTAAAAATTACAGGCTAATATAAAATACAATAGCAGCTTTTATTACCAACAGAAGAAGAGACGTTTATGCTACTAAAATTTGTGGCAAAGGAAAGAAATAGACGAAAGCCGCTTCAGCCTCATCACTACACCCTTAATTATTTTTTCATGTTAACTAATAATGACCAATAGGAGGCACATAATTTTTAAATATTTAATTAAATGTTCAAGAATACAATCACAATTTTTTATATAGACAAAAGCAATAGAACATAGTTTGAGGGATAACAAATAAAAAATTAGTGACTGATAACAAATAAAAACTAAAACAATTACCATTAAATATGCAACCGTGGTAAATCGTCTAGTAGGCTCTTTTGAACTTGTATTAGAACGTCGTTTCAGCAAGCTTATGACCAATTTGCAGTAAGGATTATGACCTTAAAAATATAGAGCAAATTTATGGTAAAAAATTAAGACAATCACCTAAAAAAATTATCAAACATATTACCCGCAAAAATGAAATAGCCAGCCGCCAAATATTACCCGAAAAAATTATCAAACAAAGTCCAGCCGCCAAATGGTGATGAAAGAACTGGTGGCGAAGACATGATGAATTTGGCGTAAAGAGCTGAGCTAAGATAGATTTAAATAAATTTGGCGGCTGGACTTTGTTTAAGAAGAAGAGAAAGATTGATGAAGAGAAAGGACCGTTTGAGAGTGTTGATGCCGAGTAAAAAAGAGGAGAGATTTCCTAAATGGGGGTAAAAATGTAAGTGAGCGTGGGTGGGAGAATGAAAAAGAATATTGTAGGGTACCTAGCAATCTCTTCTTCAATTTTGAAGATGTTATGTTTTAAGGATGAAGGAATAGCCCTAAATGGATGGGCGAAAGTGGTGTAAAGGAGATGGGAGATGTGAGATTGATCATAAAGGAGAGCTAGGGAAAGAGATATAATCTACGGTACAGAGAGGCTTAGTACCACGAACGGTTGAGATGACTGAATAGGTTGGGCAGGAGTTCTGCTTACACATAAAATCCAGATATTATAAAATATCAAAATATGTTATGAAATGGATTGATGGGCAGGAAAGTCATCCTTCAGATAATTCTATCCAAACTCTAGATATTATAAAATATGTATGGAAAAAATTTACCCGTTGAATAAAATAAAAGTAAAGTTAGAAAATATGTTATGAAATGGCTTGATGGGCAGGAAAATGAAATAAAACCTCAATGTAAATGCTCTCGAGCATCATATGAGCTTCACTGTTTACTTGAAACGCCACCAAAAGTAGACATCAAAAGAAGTACTCAATATTCTAATCAAGTATCTGAAATTATAAAACAACTATTAACTGAAATACTCAAAAATTATTAACTCATATAGCTTTCAAAACAAATCATATCAGGCCCAAAGTGAAATTGATTTGAATTGAAAACAGAGAAAACACTTGAAAAGTTCCCACAACAATTATAGAGCACTCAAAAGTTCTTTAAGCTTTTCATGTTTTATCATCTCTCTAACAGGCAGATATGCAACCATAGTGCACAATTTCTATTTGTTCATTCACTATAGACCCTACAGAAAAGCTAAGAGGCTGTTTCTGAACATTAAATAAATGAATAATATCAAACTTGTTTATTCAAACTGATTACTAATACCAAAGTATGAAAACACCATCCTGGAATACTCATAAATTGTGTATTCGCATCACTTCTTCTTCCTTTTTTGATAAGAACTTTTGGATGAAAATTTTAAATTAGTATTTGAAAACGTGTGAGAAAATTTTAAAAAATGAATGGGAATGCTGCTAAGAGTTCAGAACAGAAATATATTACTGACTTGCACTTTCACAAAGTTCACGAAGTGTATGCATCAATGAAGGAAAATCCAATGACATATTAGCATAGGAATGTCAACACAGCCTAGGTGATCTGAGTCAAATGATCTATAGTTACTAAAGCCTACAATTTACTCCAGGACTCCATGCTATAACACACTTCTTATATCCAAAATTATAGGGGAACTTTTTTATTATCAGACACGACTCAAGTTAAAAATGAAATCTTATGTTCCCCAGAGCGTAAAAATGAAATTTCATACTCCTTAGGACATATATATTTATATATTTATTTTGATGCTACTAATTAGTATAATTAGTTCCGATTAAATTTTTGTACATTAGTGGATTAGTGGCAGCTATGTTGGATAGTAGAATTTTCACAAAAGTAATCAACCTATTGATTCAGTATTTTTTAGTTTAGGTGTGTTGCTGGTTTTTGTGAGCTGCTCCATCTAGCTGTTTTTCACACACGAATGCAGTCAGTTCTAATTTTCTCTTAAATATGATACTTTTTTGTGCATTAACAAATATTGTTCAGATGTGCTACTTGGAAAGATGCTTGTTGTTTTCTCATTGTTGATGAGAGGAAGCTCATACTGTTTGTTTCCTTGCAAGTAGCTGCATCTAAAAAAAATATTTTGTATCTTAAGCTGGACTTTTTCAGATTTGCTAAACAAATCCCTTTTATTCAAAAAACGGGTGAATTAAAAAACATACCAATTAGCCAAAAATTAGAGGCAACATGTCACCAAGTTGCTTCACCTTTCCCTGGACAGCACCTAATACTGTTTTCTGGCTTCACCTTTACCTGGCAGATTAAACATCCAAGCACTGAAAAGCGGGGAAGGAAGTAAATAGAAAGTAAGCTGAATGAATTTTTACTCAGGAAAAAGATAAAGAAGGAAATAAGCCACTATTCTATAAAAAAAGTATTTAACCAAAGTCAAAATTGCTTAAAAAAACTAACATTCCAGTAATTGATTAAGAAGCTAAAGAAATGGATTAAGAAAGTGAGGAGACTCATAGCATAGCATGTAATAGCAGCATTTGGTCTAGTAGTTCTTCTATCATTCTATAACATTTGCTTCACATATATTTAGTGACTTTGAACACTTGCTAAGTTTCTAACCAAACCACAAAACCAAAAACTATACCCTAAAATATGAGCTTTTGAAAATTGATAAATTATGGGAGCAAAGGTTGTTTTGGACCCCAAACGACATGAACCCTAAACTAACCCCTAAAATATGCACTGTGGGAAATTGATAAATTGATATATTTCAGCTGGATTTTTTATACTATGATAATCTGAAGACACATACACATACACATATTCAACATAAATGAAATAGTTCATTTTTAGAGAAGAAAAATAAGGCCTGCCGTGTTACTAACATATATATGCATATATGTTTTTCCAAAATAACCGCTATCTAACATATACTTCTCCAAAATTAGCAATGCATATATATCCTTTAATAGCTCAAGAGAGTTGCGTTATAGTTTTTCTGAGCAGTGTAGGTATGTTTTCCGAAAAACAACAAAAGAAGAGAGAAATACATCATCAATCAAAATAATTTACAAAACCCAGTATGCTAACTTTAAATCTAAAAAATAAATTAAATTAATCACACTCCTTAATCACATAGATGCAAAATAGCTCAATCAATTTTGTTGGTATAAAAAAAGATTGATATCAACAACACATGTAGGCATTCAGCTAAGCGGTGTACTGTAAGAGTGTAACTATAATTTAAACCATAAATAAAATTCAGATGTAAAGCACCATAGCTAATATAGATATCAGTTATATAAATATCATTACGTTGATAGTAGAAGCATAAGATTTCATTTATCCCATCCTAACATACACTGAGTCCTATACCATAGTAGAACATATAATAACATGAGCAAATAAGAGCATAAGATGCTTAAGTGACTTTGGAAGGGAAAGAATCAAAATACCAAAGAATCTATAGTGAGCAGATGTGATGAGGAAAACGGAAGAAGGAACCCTGGCCACAATTGAGAAACTTTAGTGTAAATCCATTGGAAAACTGGGAAGCTTTGAATGACTAATTGAACAGAGTAGTGCAGGGCCTCACTTGTTCTACGCAGATAGTGGCTGAGAAGCTTCGATCTATTGAAATTGAAGGCAAGAATAGAAAAAGTGAAATCTTTTGAGAGAATGTGCTGGATGAATTGAAAAGCCGGATATGAATAACGCTACACATTCTTGTACTCTTGTGTGAAAAGGGGAAATCCGTGGAAGAAATCAGAAAATGGAAAGGGGTGAGGCCGGTCATTTTCATCACTAGATGAAGACGATGGAGACGCAGATAAAGTCAGTGAAATTGACGGGGATGGAGAAGCGGATAAAGACGGTGAATATTGGCTGCGATGGAGAAGGCGGAGTAACTGAGAAAATGGCTGTATGAGATTGGAGGTCGGGGTGAAGCGATGAAGCTGAGAGATGAAAGTGACGGCTAGAGATTGAAGTCCAAAATAGACGGTTAAGATGAAAAAAGGTGTTAAGGCGGGTTTGCCCTAGACCAGTCCAGACCAGACCAGACTTGGATAGTTATAAAAATACAAAGAAACCAGACCTTACGAGACCAGACCAGACTAGATCAGACCAGGCCAAACCAGACCAGCAAATTCCAGTCCTAGTAAAAACATCCTTAGTGTTCAATGAACAGTGAAATTACTGTTCAGTGAACAGTACAATTTTGCATTGGAAATTACTGTTCAATGAATAGTCTAATCCGATCTATTAAACTTTGTTCAAGTCTGATCTGGTTTGAAACTGAAATAACTCAATTAAAAAAATCCTAATATAGTTTGCACTGTAAATTACATCTCAACAAAAACGAGGGTGAAATTTGAAGAAAAAGGACATAAATAGGAGTAAAACATAGGAAAGAGATCTATATATGAGTTGACGCGGTCCGGTCCGGTCAACTCATAATAGATTTAATATTTACTACGGAGTACATTTAGGGGTGGGCGCGGTCCGGCCCGGTCCAATATTTGGTCAAACCCGTACCGTGACTATTCAAATGGTTCAGTTCGGTTTGGTCTTACACCTAAACCCGTTTGGTGCGGTTTCATTTTCAAACGGGACGATACCATGTCATACCAATACCAAACATTTCCAAGTGTTCAAGAGGAAATTATAGTTTAGTCATCTCCAATGTTAAAGTTAAATCCTCACAATTCATCAATTTTCATACTCCCTCCATCCCAAATTGATATGCAAAGTCAATATTTTCTTGTCAACCAATGTTGAAGTTAAATCCTCTTTATTGATAATGAATTCAATTTTTAACAATTAAAATTTACATATTCAGAAACTACATTAAAATCTCTTGAAAGTTGCAAACTCCAAATTAAGTATAATTAAAAATTGACATGTTAATTAAGTGAATAAAATGAAATTGTTTGACAAGAAAAGTTAATTTTGCAAATCAATTTGGGACGGAGGTAGTATTACATAATTAAAGAATTTCAGATTTCAGATAAACTATAATAGTACAAATTTAAATAATTAAACCAAACATCGGTTCGATTCCCGGCTTCACATGAACTAGCAAAGAAGGTGAAAGTGTAAAGACACAATTCACTATAAGTTCAACAAGATTTCTATCATTAATGTATTCAAGAAACATGTCCGGTGATAATTCAGATCAACAAAAGTATTTTTGAAATTATTAATATTATATTGAAATAAATAAATCAAAAAATAAATAAGTAAGATGGTGTAAGATGACCAAAATGTCAAATTTTTACCTCAACCAGTTAACTTATACTCAGTAACTTATTGCCACAATGTAAAAAATGTCAATGTATTACTCCTTAATACATTGTTGTTAGAGTTTTTCCATTTTTGATCCTCAAAGTATGGAACATTATTTATCACTTTTAGTTTGGTTCTCGGACAAATAACACACACATGAGTAATATTTTGAGGCCAAAACAGCACTCTATTCACACCCACTCTGAAATTAAGATTTTTGAATCTGAAAATCAACTCATTTCTCTATAGTCGTTTTCAATTCGAAGCCCTGAAATACTCTCTTATTTCACAAGTATAATGGGTTCTAAATATTCTTAAAAAAAAAGTAAGCCATACTTTTAAGAAAATTGAAGCGACACTTTTAATATCGAAAAAATGTTGATAAAATTATACATATTTGGTCAAATAAATAATCTATGAATATTGTAAACATTATTTATTGTAAACACTTTTAATATTGTAAACACTTTTAGGAAAAATGACACAATGTCAAACATCAAGTATCAGTATGAACATTGCCAAAATAAACATTCACAATATTGCAACATTGTGAAAACGTTGGAATAAACAAGTCACAAAGTCAAAAAGATTTACAATGAAACAATGTCAAACATTACAAAAAAATGTCACAATATTATAAACATTTGTGGGATGTAGGAAAATATCACATTATATTGCTAGAAAATTTCACAATGCCAAAAAAAAAGTGATGAGAAAAATCAAACATTGTGATAAGAAAGGAAAAGAAAAGAACAATAAATTGACAAATACACATGTAATAAGAAAAGCATAGAAAAAAACAAAAATGAAGAAGCTGAAATGAGTAGGAATAAAAAAAAAAACAGAGAGAGAAGGCCGGAAAACTAAAAATGCTGAAGCAACTCATAGGGAGTATGCATGAAAAAGCGGCGCTCCGGCTTACATATTTTTTTTTCCAATAATAATAAGCCTCAATCCAGAACAATAATAAAAAAAATCGACTGCAGTAGTGCACAAAAAGAAAACAAAAACGTACAAGTCCAGATCTATAACTGGGAGTCAACCTCCAAAGAAACCAAAAAGAAAAAAGAAGGGGGAAACACACGATGGAGAAATTGCAGCAGCAAAAAAGGGAGAATAAAAGGAGGCCGGGAAGAGGCCAGAGATGGAAGCTCCGGGGACAGCAGGGCATTGTACGACATCTAGCTTCGTTAAACATACAGGACAGGCACGATTTTTTTTTTAAACTGGAAAACTTACCGGAGGCGGCGCTACGGCGGGACGGCACAGGCGTAGGGCGGTCGGGGGTCCGGTGTAGCGGCGTCCGGCGTAGCTTGCCTGCTACTTACAGCTTAGGCTCCTAGCTATGCGGCGTTTTTGACGTTTGAAAGTTAGACTTACAGAGACCTCTGCAAATGAAAACCTGGTAGGAACGAATACCTACCGCTAAAAGACGCCTAGCTTATTTCCAGAAAAAGAGAACTACACCTTTCATTCTGATCAGAGAGCTGAGAGCAAGAAATACCTACTGTGCAATTTCCTATTACAATTTGTCTTGATTTCCCTCCACTTTTTCTTTGGGCCCAGGCCCACTTCGATTTCTTTTAACTAGTACGACCTTGAGAAAATATTTTACATCAATGAATCATATTCCACATGAAGTTTTATCGAGTTAAAATTAATTACTTGTGTTTCATATTTCAATTTCATTATCGCAAAATATAAATATGTATACAGATATTCGTAGAACTATTGTTAAATCTAAAGTACAAATTCAAATATAATACTATGTACTACATAATAAACTGGTTTATGGAATCAATTTTAAAAGATTGATCCTATGAAGCACGGATACTTCCCTAGGGTAGCGTATCGGCGTATCCGATACGTTCCCGTATCCGATACTCTAGGATACCCGTACCGTACGTTCTCGGGCCGTATCTGCAATTTTTAAAAGTTTCCATTTTTTTTTTGTAATTTTTTGAAAGTTTCCGATACTTGTATCCTGACGGATACCCGTATCAACTTTTTGTTAAAAAAATCCCAAAATTTACTTAATAAAATTCTAAACAAAAATGAAAATCTAAAACTACATTTTACTTGGTAATCAAATAATGGGCCTATATGGCTATATCCGAATTAAGTCATTAACTCATACTCCAAATTGGGAACTTGCACTTTTAATGGCCTTTTTATTCCAATATTACTAAAAATAGGATAAAAGATAAAAAAAAGTGATCTTTTTTTTAAAATTCAAAAAATGTGACCAAAATTACAATTAACCCTGTAGTGCATAGTGACTACGGGCAAAGTGACTCCGGCCAAAGTGACCCCACCGACCACAGTGACTGCCCCGCCGGCACCCTCACCGCTGGCATCGCCGCCGCCGCCGCCAGTCACTACCTCAGTGACTCCGGTCAAAGTGACTCCGGTCACAGTGACTCCGTGTACAACCCATATTGACTGCCGCTCGGCGGCCACAGTGACTCCGGTTATGATGACAACCTGCTCACCAGCGAAAGAGGCTTCCCGCTCACCAATCACCACAAGTGTCTGCCGTCGCCACAATCTGCCACCAGTGACTCTGCCCTGACAGTGACTGCTGCCACCCCCGGCCAGTCACTCCGCCCCCTCCCCCGGCAAGTCACTGCCACCGTCTGCCCCTTTCATTGGCAAGTCACCGCAACCCAACCAAAGTCCTGGCCCTGTCCACCATTGGCAACCACCACCTCCGGCGTCCACCAACTCCGGCCACCGCCGACGACCACCATACCCCAGCCTCCTGCCTCACCTAGCCTCTCCCCTGTGTCACCATAGCTCCTGCCTCATATCATCCCTCTGCCCGACCTCCTTTCTAACCCCAACCGACCAGCCCCCTGCCCGACCCAGTCTCACCTTAGCCCCCTGCCTGACCCCCTGCCGGTTTCACCCCAGACTCACCCTCCGCCTCCACTGCCACCACCCCAGCCTCGCCGCCGCAATAACCACACCCCAGCCTCGCTGCCGCAATAACCACACCCCAACGTCCACCGCCGGCCTACCGGTCAACCACCGGCCAACCCTAGCTAGAAATCCCAGTCATCCAAACCAGATCTGGAATGTGGTCGCCGCAATTAAGCCTAACCTCCTTACATCTGAACAGAAAGAGAAGAGAAAGCAGATCGGCGTGGTGTAGAAAGACGGGGACGGCCGGAAACGATGACGTGAGGAGGAAGAGCTTCGTTCGCGCGACAAAGAGAGAGCAAGGAGCAGGACTGGAACATCGGAGATGGAGGCGCGATGGCGGAGGCGCGATGGTGGGGGCTCTCTGCAATGATGGTGAAGGCCCTCTGCAGCGATGGAGGTATGTTGCGGCTAAGGAAGGGGAAGGAGTGCGATGGATAGGTCAGCGGATCACTTTTTTGGAATATTTGAAAAGCAATCATATATTTTGAAATCAAAAGCCCATTAGTGATAACCAGGTCATTTTTTCACTTTTAATTTCAAGATTGTAGTTGTTTGACTCATTTCTCATTTTAAATTAATGACTTATTGACTACTTTTATATTTCGAGATGCACTAGTGTATATAAGAAATATATTATGAATTTATTACTAAGTATCTTGAAAATGAAAATGATTCAATGCAATGAATAGGTAGACATCATACGATATTATATGTATATATATTTTTTTAAAAAAACTATTTTTAATATTTATAAATAGACCCCTATAACTTTTAGTATTTGTAGATACACCCCCATAACTTTTAATATTTATAAATATGGCCCCGTATCCGTATCCTACTTTTTTTGGTTTTGACGTATCCCCGTACCCGTTTCCGCGTTTCCGCGTTTCCGCGTACCGGTATCGGTGCTACATTGGATTGATCCGTTGACGATGTGACCAGCAAAAATGAAAAGGAATACACAGAGCGCGCTGGTTTAACTTTTTATATGGGCAAAAAGAATAAACATACTTTCTAAATTCATTTTAAACTATATTCCCTCTCTATTTAAAAGATCATTACATTAGATTTTGACACAATATTTAAAAGATGGTGAAAACTAGGAAAAGAAGATTAAAAAAAATAGAAAAAATAAGCATAATTAGGTGTTTTTTAAAAGAAAAATTTTACCCCCAAAAAAAAGAACTTTCAAATACATTTCAAATAATAGAGTCTAACGAACTTTCAAATACGGAGTATATCGGAAAATATATGTATCTCAACTATATCTTAGACATCACCACTTGGAAAAAAAATGTATTCTAACTTTTTACCAAGGAATAATTTTCTTTTTTATTTTTCTAAAATATAGCTCAAGTTATTATATTTGTACCTTTTTGTTACACACGTACACTTGATCAGGGATGAATTCAGAATTATATTTACGGCTTATAAGAGAGACAAAACTTTTTCATTAGAGTAGAAGTAGAACTCTCTGCATGCCGAAATATCTTCATCCCCCATGTACGCATCCATTTAAATATTCACGCTCTAAATGGACACAAAGAATAAAATAACTTATTACTTACTAGGTTCTTAAAACTGAAGTGCTCTAAAAAAGGTATTGGTAAACTAAACTCCATGAAATTTTAAATAAATCAAACGAAAATTATTTTATTACATAGAATGGCCAAAACTTTAGCAATCTATATATTTGTATATAAAGGGTCTTATATACAAAGTAAGACTCGCCACTAGGCGCTATGTGGCCAGTCACTGCCCGATTAGTGGCTAGCATCTTTTAGAATACATGGTATAGGCAATACGCTATCCTCGGGTATGAACTTGACTCGAGTATCAGATCGGATCCCGAGAATAATTAAACGTGCAAGGATATTCTTTATCAAGATTTGTCTTATACCCGATCGGGTACGGTAGACCGACATACTCGATTGAGTATCGGATTATGCCACCTCCAAACATGAACAACGAGGAAAGGGCCAGTTTGGTACTTGAAGTTGCATAAAAAGGGTCAAATAAGTCCTTACTATCTGGCCGTTGCCTTTTGGGATGGTTTCCGATGGAATTTTTTGATGAAAATTTTTGAACATCTAGTTTACTCATACCTAATTTCAGCTAAAACTTCAATCGGGAAGGCATTGAAATGAATTCTTGAAGATAATTACACTTTTAACTGCGCAGTTATCTCTAAAACTTGGTATGAGTAAACTAGACTTCATGAATAAGATGCTCAAAAAATTTCATCAAAAAATTTCACCCGTAGCCGCCCCAAATGGCGATGTACAAAACCTCCTATATAAGGACTTATTTGACCCGTTTTATGCAACTTCGAGTACCAAACTGACCCTTTCCTCCATGAACAACTATAAATACACTCATTTTCCTTCTCATTTGGACATCCATTCTAGCTTCCATGTTCTAAAGCTCTGTTTAGATTAAGTACTTTTTATATCTATTTCATCCTTAGTCTCCAAATGAGGAGCTAAACTCCCCCTCCTCCTCTCCCCCTTCCCCCTCCCGAATATTGAAAAGTATAGGAATAAGTGATCAAAAAGCATTTTATAGAAATGCTTTCTGAAGCATACTGGTGAATATTATTATTTTTTAGAAGGATATTGGTGAATATTATTACTTTTTTAGAAGCATATTTATACTAGTGAATATTATTATTATTTTATTGTATTCAGTTTCATATAGTGTTTGTTTGAATTAATTGAGCAATAATCACGGAAATAATATAAAATTTTACCTCTTTAGCTGTCTCTAAATCAAAAAGAGGCATGGTAAACTCGATATCAGTACCGTCATCTCTCAGCGTAACACAAGATGAAGTTGTCTGACTTGAAGTACACTTGGTGGTTTGCCTTGAAGTCAAATACCTACATTTATTCATAATTCATAATATATAAATATAAACCATTACTGCCATATATATAAGATCAAATGGGAAGTCCACATTCATAATTACCCTAAATTCAAATGGTTTTTTTTGCAGTTAATCCCGAATAATTACAAAAGTGCCACTTTGTCATTATTAGCCATTGGTTGGAAAAATGAATAACGGGGATTGAAAGTTCTTATTTTAAAAAGGATTCTCATTCCAAGAGGGATTCTCACTAGAACGCTCCCATATGTGCAACTCATAACACTGCTGCTATACCTAGATCACATGAATTATGCGATCCTTCTTAGGCATGGACTCGGGTCAGGTCAGTCCCGGGCCCGGTCGAGATCGATTCTGAAAGAAATCAGGCCCGGTACTGTTCCGGTATGCCCCGGTACCGATCCGGGTACCTGGCCGGGCCTCGGTCGAGTCCCGGGTCGGGTCGAGTCGAGTTTGGGTATTTTTTTAATTCCTAATATATTCAAAAAATGCCACATAAAGAATTAAATGTATGTTTTTGAAATATGAAGTACAATAGAGAATTGAGAATGATTTAAAACATTAAATACATTTAGTAATCGTGGTAATCTCCACCAACATCGGTTGTTGTTTCCCCCATGAAGTGGCGGTCAGGGGCGATGCAAAGTTCTTGATTTCTTCTATGTTGGGCCTTCAACCAATCGTGGAAGCAAACGAGCGTCTCAAGAGGTTATGCACTCAATCTCGTTCTATAATCCATTAGAACATTGCCGGCTTCACTAAATCATTGTTCTACTGATACTGTTAACACTGACATTGATACCCTTGATTTGCTATCTTCGATAAAATCTGGATTGTTAGAACTATTTTATTGTGAGTCAAGTTTGTCTGTAATGTCTTGTTCAATAAAGTAGAAAAGATATACCACTTATGGTATTAGTTTTATTTTGTAATAAATAGGAGTAAAGGAATAAGGCCCAAAAAGGCTTTAGGCCCTAACTCCTAGGTAACCTAATTCGGTAACCTGTGCAGCGCTTATAAATATGCGCGTCCTGCACAGAACCGAATGTCGATCAATAATATTCTCTAGCCTTACGCTGTCAAAATACTTCTCGATATAATAGAAAGAAGGTTTCTCTATTCTCAATAATTCTTATATAATTCTATGAAATCTCTCTTATCTGTTCTATCGTTGAATACCATCTAGCCGTGTGTTAGTCTACAGAAAACTGGGACCAACATGGATCATTTCTTCTTTGTCCTTCCACCATGAGAGAACGTCAAGGTCATCCCCTCTTCACACTCACAAGGGAACTTTAGATATATGGAAGGCTCGTTAATCGAGCTTTGTGCAACATCGGACCTCGATTTTGTTTTTTTCTATGAGATTACCAAATGTTGATTTGAAAAATGATTTTCCTTTAAATGAAAAAATTGTTGGTTTTGGAGGAGGGGTTGTGTTACCATAATTGTGCATGAAACTCATTAAGCTATTGATGAAGTGAGTTACTAACCTCGTTGTATTGTTCTTTAGGATCTATGGGCTTTTCTTCGTACATAGGTAATGGATCAAAAAATCAAGAATAATAGTACTCTTAACATGATGGATAGGTAGCAAGTTTGAAACAAGGATCAAGAACAAAGGAGAAACTTTTTAAGAGTACACAAAGCGCCACATAATTCTGCCATGTTATCCATTATATATAACAATGATTTAGTTATTTATATTTTTTTTTAACCTGGAAGGCAAACCACCAAAATCAGTGGGGCAAATGTCAGGGAACATTCGCCTGATTTTATTAAAAATCAGGAAAATACAAGAAGAGAGGGGGACCAAACCAAAACCTCTCACCAAAGGCATACCTCCGTAAGATACAAGAATGAACAATGATAATCATGTAATTTCCATGTTTTTTTTTGTGATTTTAAGTTGTTTTGATTGATTTTCACTTTGGAAATTACACAGTTTTGGTGTAATAGTTTAGTTTGTTAAATTCTTGTAAATTGTTTAGATTAGGTTTATTCTGAGCTCAAACAGGTCTACTATCACTCAAAGGATAGTTGGTGAACCCCAAAAGTGGAAGGGAGGTGAAAAATCACAAGACAAAAGGGAAGATCCTGATTTTTGGTCTATACCCGGTCGAGATCATCTTTACTCGATCAGGTATCTTGTTGAAATTTCAAATCAGATCGGATCCGAAAACAAAGGAACATGCAGGGAAGATTTTGACACGATCGAATGTCTATACCCGATCGGGTACACCGACATACTCGATCGGGTATAGCTATAAATTTTACTCTAATCTCGATCGAGTATGGATCGAATTCGAATTTCTACACATACTCGATCGAGTATCTGTATATACTCGATCGAGTACCCGAGCTGCACTCCCAAAAAGCTTATAAATACACCCCCTTTCCTTCACAATAAGATACCAATTCCTTTATACTCTTAAGCTCAGTTTAGAATAACATTTCTTTATATTTCTTCTAGCATGTTTAGTCTCCAAATGATGAGTTAAACTCCCATTTCTTGGTATTGCTCTTGAAGCTTGTTGATTATTAAAGTTGTGAGTTATTTTCTTAACTTCTTTCCTTGAATATTAATTCTTCCTTTAAATACTATTTCTATACCAATGTTGGGGAGTGTTAT